AAAAGACAGATGCAGCAGTCAAACCCACTCATCTCAGATGACAAGTAGGGCATCTCGAGAAGGATCATACCGACACTTCAGTATCTAGCCAGCCATACCAGCTAACCAGGGCCCTCTGCTGAAGCTGGTGCTACGCAGAAATTGTGGTAACCATCTGAGAACTTACAGCCCCAAAACAAAATGATACAACCCATGCTTGCAACCAGAGGGGAGCACCAGTTCTGACCAGTGTAGTAGGTGGCAGAGTCAGCCTCCGCAGGGTTCAAGGCTAGGTGGTTGTGTTAGAGACAGCAGCACAGGCAGAATACAGGACAGGAGATCACATTTCCTAAAAGTTCCCAAAAGTTTTGAGCACAGAGCCAAGGTTAGCCCTTTAAATATCACATGTGACAGCTTCTTGCCACATAGACAGAAAGTTAGGCAAGGACATGGAGAGATGTGATCTGACCACAGAGCAGGGACTCTTGTGGAAACCCATTTATACCTTCAGCCTTCCTTTTCTGCACCTTCAGATAGACTCTCAAAGGAAAAGTAAAGCAGCACACTGTGGCACAAGATAAAGTGCTTTTTTTTCTTGCTACCCTGCTTTCTGCCGGCACATGCATACAACAGTCATGAGCAGGAGTGAACAGAGCTGACCTTTCCTAGGTTCCTTGAAACACAAGCCCCACATCTCTCCCCACTGAGGCTACAAGCACAAGTCACACCCAGCATTGTCTGGAGCCTTCCAGTCCTTTGGGCATCAGGGAAAATTTGAGCATGACCACATACATATGCTGAGCAGTGGAGTTGAGACTAAGAAACAGCAACTGCTACCCACAGCCTTTGGATCTTTCAATCAGCCAGGGAACAGGCTTTAAGCAAAGCACCTGCCCCTCCCTAAGAAATCTCTATCGCACACAACGCTCCCATTTATGTTGTCTACTTGGAAGCGATACAGTAGAATAGCACAATCGCAATACTGGTCTTAGGCCACAAGAGGGACCTGATTATCCACATAGCTTAGTACAAGCCTCGGAGTTAAGAGCATCAGAAATGACCCTTTGAGTAAGAGTAAGTGTCCATGTAGCCCAGTACTCTGCCTTGACCCACAGCAAGAGGAGATGCTACCTAGAAAGAGCATGTCTGGACACCTAAATATGGTCCATTCCCCTCATACACCCCCTGCATCTGTGGTCCCTGGACTAGGGATGTTAGAGGCCACATCCTTGACTATTCCTCCTTTTAATAAACATTTACAAACCTGTTGTCCATTTGTTTGTGCAATCCATTTTTGAACTGCTGATGCTGCCTGCTGCCTGTGGCAAAAAATCCAGGACTAATCTCTATGTAAAGAAGTATGTTCTTCTAGATCAAATTCATACTGGTCTCACTGAGTGTCCCTCACCGTTGCTGTTGCACGATTTAGGGAATAACAGTTCTATGTGGACCTTATTCACCACCTTCCTGAGTCCATAAAGTTCACTTATATCTTCCCTCAGTCTCCTCCTCTCCAAAATCAAGTCTAAGCTTTCCTAGTTTCTCTTCTTAAGGCAGATGCTCTATTTCCTTAATCATCTTAGTTCTCTCTATCTTCATACTCAAGAAGGACACAGTGGAATTAGAGGAGACCAGAACTGCACACACCAATTGAGGCACATCATGGGTGTGGGCAGCAGGAAAGTTAATTATGAACTCTATCTTATTCTCAATATCCTTCCTGGTGGCACCTAAGTTTGGCTGGCCTTTCCAGCTGCTGCACAATGAGCTGATGATTTCAGAGAAGTGCTGTTTCATCCACGTCACAGCTAGGTATCCAACTTGGATACCCCCAGTCGCCAGCATCTTACAGACACCTCCCATGACTTGTTTCTGTGGGGGTCATGTCTCAGTTCTTCAGACAAAAAGGAAAAAGACATCCAGAATGGACTATCCCATACAAACATCCATGCTAGGGACGGCAGGCTAAAGGAAAGTTTCTGCTTTGATCTTTTCTGTCACTGATTAATCAGTAGGTCATTAGGTGCTGAAATGCAAATATACAGTACGTACAGCTCTAAGCGTCACAGAACTGTTCACTCTGGGTTATTTTGGAGCAGCCAGAAAACACAAACTAGAGAAATTTGGCTCTCGTATGTCCATAGACAGCTTTCTCACACACCACAAAAGGCTGCAAACTCACAGCTTCCAAATTTTTACCCCATCTTCCTTGCCAAATAGTTATTGTACAATTGATAGGAAGAAGAAAGAGAACACCAAGAGAAAACAAAGCAGGTAAGAAAATGCATGGACAAAACATTCACAGGAAGACGTTACAGTTGAAGACAAACCAATCACTTGAAGAACCACTTCAACACCTTCAGAGACAAGAGAGAACTAGACTACCTAGTACCGGATTAGCTAGTACCAACCCTCAGCAGATGAAAACCATTCTCAGTCAGAAAAAGCCTTAGCAGAAAGACAGTAGAAGGGGACATGCTTCTTTAGAAAGGATTTGGGTCCTGTTACCTTCTTCTGGCGGTAGAGGATTTTCTCCAGCTCCTGTTCTTTGCTGCGCAGTTCCTTCTGGAGCAGGTTACTCCTGTCATGTCTCAGTGCTTCCTGCAGAGGTAAAGATACACAGCTGTGCATACAACACCCAGCACGGTAAGAGCTGTTCCTTGGCCAGATGAGCCACCACCTCTTCTTCAAACCAGAGGAAGTTTGACTTCAGCCAAGAGCGATGAGGTACCTGGCAGATCAACCTCTCCCGTTCTGCTTTGATCTGTTGCTCCATTTCTTCATAAAGGCACCTGACTTCTCGGTCATGGTCTGTCTCCTTCCTACAAAAGGCAGGACGCACACAGGTCAGGAGAGAGAAAGAGAATACAGAAAGAAAACAGGAGAGGAGGGTGGAAACAGATTCCCACTAACACCTGTGTGGCATCAAGTGGGATTTTAACCAGACCAAATGTTATGGGTGGGCACTGATGCAAAACAAACCCATGGGGATCAGATCAAGATAGAGAGTAATTTTATTACAGCAAGCAAAATCTCTGCGTCCTGTAACCCAGTCTCTCCTTGCATTTGAGGCAGCATCCAAGCATCAGCTGGTTCCTGACAGCAAACGACCATGATGTTCTCCTTACCGCTTCAATGCCTGTTCCATAGACTCCTTCTCATGATTGACCTCCCTTATGTATGATGAAACACGCAACAGAAACTCTTCAAAATTGGATAAGAGCTCCGGACGCTCCTTTCGTAGCCGAGCCCAGAGCTCCCGAATCTCACGTGGACTGGAGCAAGCATACAAGAGAGAAGGAAAGCAAATGAATTTCTGTGTCATCTTACGGACTGTTATTCCAACTCCAGCATGCACTCAGGACAGACAAACTGCCTGTGATGACCTCCATTACACCATCACAGCAAAGAGGGAAGTTGGACAGTGATGGAGCATGCATGTGGAGTGAGATCTACTGCAAGGTTAAAATAAAGGAAGTCATCTGAAAGAGGAAAAGAAAAGTCATCTAGGAAGCAAACCTGGAACGATTATTTTTCAAATATTCAGCAATAACACATTTGGTGTCTAAACCAAGACTTGAAGAGATGAATGTTCAGCAAATTTGCTGTGAGCTGCAGTCAAGCAGCAAACTGTTATAGCCCAGGGATTTTAGCACACATCACACAGGTGTTGTTCTCACACCAGGACTGTACTGGTGGATGCTACTGTCCTTGTTATTTATTTTACTGGTTTAGAAACTGAGGCACAAACAAAAGAAGCGAATTTGCCAAGGTGTCACATCAGGATAACAATGGAGGAAGCTCTGGAAACCCAAAGTCTTCTTTTTCTGAACCTGCAATAACAATTACACTGTTTTGGCATTTAATTCATCTCAATTTGAACACAGCACTTATAAACT